TCTCGAAGTCAGCACCACAACATGCGAAAATATTATTCAGATCGAAGCACTATTGAATAKAGCTGCCATAGAATTTGATCGATCAAAATCAAGTTTTTGTATGGAAAACTTCTTTATGTGACAAGATATCGGCACGAAATCTGGCATGGGTTATTATCTGAGACAACTGCACAATCTTCGAACAATTTGTTGCATACTTTTTGAGATACTACCTAGCTCTTAGGAGTTGGCGATTTTTGCATATTCGAAGAAAACATTTATTTTCTCCAAAATCCGGAACTAACATACATTCTTATCTCCTCACCGCAATTTTTTATTAGCTTTTCATCAATATGATATATGTATATTACATAACTTGCTATTTACGAAAGCCAGTAGTTGAAGATAAATCAGCAAGGAACACCTTTAAGTCAATATTTAGTCTAAGAACATAATATTTATTTGCCTTTAAAGCCTTTGTTCAGTGCTGGYAAGTCCAAATATTAAACAAATAATATTGTTATAATTAACTAGATGAAAGGGAGAAATGTAAATAAACCACTTATGCATACATGTATGTATGTATGTATGTATATGTGTATAAYACTTGGTATACTTTACACCCACAAAATAACGTTGATTTGCAATTAACCATATGAGAAATCAATTAACTGCTGTCAATAAAAAAGAATCGTATGTGAAGTAAAAGCAAATCCATTAGAATATTAGTAACAGCTGGAAGGGCAAATTTACAAAAGATTGCGTAAAGAGTGTAAATATTTGTTACATGTTACGAAGGTGATACGAGGGTGGTGTATGAATTTGYTGAACTACAGAAAATTCAGCAAGCAAGAAATATATATTAGGTGCGCAAGTAAATTCCCAGTGTTTGTCAATAGATGTATCCAACAGTTAGTAGTGATCAATTTTGACGGCTCCAACAGTTGGTGGTGATCGAATTTCATATATCCAAACCGTAATAAACTTAACCTAGACCATTAAAAAAGGTTCAGCGTTTCCACATTCGTGACTCAGTTTATGTTTCACATACTTTCAACTGTGCAAATATATCCATTTTCTCGCCAAATAATTCATTTTCTTCAGTCAGAAAAATCATCATCTTAAGCATATCGAGGACTACGAAAATTTTACGGAAGTGTTGCCTCAAGTGAAACAATGTATCGTGATTGGTTTATTCGCTTCAAAATTGGTGATTTCGATATTCATYGTAAACTTGAAGAAAAACTAAAAACCTTCGAAGGCGATGTTCGATAAGGATCTGAGTCAAACGCAAGAAGAGYTTGCTTCAGCATTGAGAGTCACSCGCCAACCCATTTCAAAAGGACTAAATGCACAGGTAATGATTTAAAACAAAAACACAGGAATGTTGCTGCCAAACAATAYTCACCAAACCTGTTAAAATCTACCTAAAAAAATTAGAATGCTACTTCTGTAGCTATTAAGTACTTCTGTAGCCATTAAGTACAACCCAAAATAATAAAGTACACTCAGATCAAATTTCACTCGGACTAGTCAATTTACACACCGCACGCAAACCGGATCAATAAAAAATTTGCTTAAATAAGTGCGAGTCCCAGTCAAATTTGATCTTTAGTCTGCAAATCCAGCATTCTCGCAATTTTTTTTTTATATAAAATAAAAGTATATAACTTTTTTCCAGAGCACTGTTAAAATTCATTCTTAAAATATGATTTGTCTAATTTTGTTCTAATTTTTCTCCATTTCCTGTACACTTACGTACATTGACAGCAACCCTCTTAAGCATAATCATGCTGTGTTCGTTCAGAAGTTCAATTTAAGTTAATTGCTTTCGTGAAAGCAAGCGAATTTTATCCTTTGCAAATTTCAATCAAAGAATCACACACACAAAAGCCAATGCACATAYATACATAAATGCTTATGTATACCATATATTTAAACATCAATATACAAGTATGAGTACGAAAACAAACGTGCAAGCGACGACCTTACTGCTGGACCATCAAAGAATATATGAATATATGTATACATAAATAAATATGTGTATATATATTTAATACACATATGCATTTATGTTCAACACTGAATAAATTAAAATATATAAACTGCTCTGAATAATTAATTACACTAAGTATCCAAATGCAAATTATTTGCTCAACAGCAAGAAATTAAATTCAAAATATTTTAATATAAGCAAAATTTATTCATAAAAGAAATARTAACCAATAAAGCACTAATGGATAAAAATGTCTACAATTTATTGGCGATAAAATATTAACTCCCAGAGTGAGGCTTAATTATGAAAATTAATAGGAGGGAGATAACCATCGATCATTAAAGCACTGAACATAATAAAAGCCAAAGGTGGACAACAGAGATATTCCGTCCCGACCAAGGATAAGGGTCTGGATCCCGCCTACACCATCGCAACCGAACCAGATACTACAGCTCATTTAAGATCTGCTAAAGGATGGACATTTTTAAAGCCTTCGCKAACCCAGTAGCAAAATCTGGCGTGGAGACCAAAAGCCAGAATGAAAGTYCTGCTGCTACTAAGAATTAAGATCGCGAAAAGTGGCGGGGAGATCAATGATGGATTCACTAAAGTAAGCATCAGAACCTAAGAGGCTGACGTCGATGCTACAAAACACTTAACTTCGAAAAACGAGATTGGTGAACTCGAGGTTGATTCTATKGAGTCCCTTAGTGGTGTTGAAAATATTAAGCAAGATGTATACTATATCCCTCGTGACCTCAAACTTTATTCTGATACAGAGCTTTTCAGCGACCTGGTAGGAAGATGAAAATAAAATATTTGTTCTATTTCAATCCAGAATTTCAAAGCCGATTTATTAAAACAAATTAAATTGCCATTATTTGTGAGCATACAAAAACTCTCCAGAATATCAGAATTAAAAAAATATACAAGTATGAACAAAAAAATTCAACAATAACAAAAATTAGCAACAATTAAGTTGCAGAGCAGAAAGTATGAGTCCTTTAAATGTGCTGCGCAAATCGCAAATAATACCGGCAGTAATGAGGAAATGCGATTTACGAGAAAAAAACAGAAAAATTTTATTTTTTCACCAGCCAGCAAGTGTGCAAATGGCAGCAATTTTATTGAAGCAAACAGCATTTCACACAAAAATGCTCGGATTGCGGTTATTTATAGCATAGTCGATGCCGGAAGTAACGAGCCAGCAGTATGACGCTGCAGTAAAAGTTCGAAATGGAGCTAAGAAGTAGAACGTTATGAATTCAAGCGCGAAAATAAGAATGCAAACGAAATGCAAAAAATGTGGAAGAACAAAAAACGCGTTGAAAGGGCGAAAATTCCAGCTTAAGTCGTTCAACAATGTCTGTTGATTAAGGCACATTTCGTGGAAAATTATAATTGCGGCGTACTTCAGTATTGTATGGCAAGTAGCTGGTGCTCAGGCTACAAGGGAGTATGGCTAATCTTCTTCTTATTTAGCGGTGGCATATTTTGAAGCAGGGAAGTGCTTTGTAAGTAATGCTAATAAACATGCGTTATATTTGGAAAAAAATATCTGACTTCAAAAAAAATTATTATTTTCTGTGTTCTAATTGCATGCGGTTTACTCTCGAAATTTTTGTTTACATGCAGATTTTCTAAAGCTTTTGATACACATGCACACATATAATATAAGATCTTTGCGATATTATGCTTGGTTTTTCTTGTATATGTGTGTGTGTTTAAATATATTAGTTGCAATTTCAAACTATTGTGCTTTCATAATTTCTTTAAGAGACGAATATATAAAATAAATTTTTTTTTTAATCATAATAATCGATGACATTATGTAAAACATTGACCCGTATCGTCACTTAAGCAGCCATGTCATCGCTAAGGAACTTAGTATTTCTCATCAAATTATTTTGAATCAATTAAAAGRGGCTTGCTTCAAAAAGAAACTCGATATTTGGGTAAAACATGAAATGTCTGTGGCGGCATTTAAAGGACCGAATTAATGTCTTATAAAACTACATAAATGAAATCGAAGCATTTCTGAAGCGAATGGTAACAAGAAACGAAAAGTGGATCAAATACGACAATAATGTGCGAAGAACATCATGGTCCAAATGTGGTGAAGCTCAACAAATGGTCGCAAGGCCAGCTTTAACGCCTCGAAAAGTTATGCTGAGTATTTGGTGGGATTGGAGAGAAATCATTCAGTATGAGCTGCTYCAGCCTGGTCGAACGATTGATTCTACATTTCACTGTTAAGAAATGATAAGACTAAAGCACGCCATCGAAAAAATGACCAGAACTGACCAATAGAAAGGACTTCGTCTTCCATCACAACAACGCTAGATCACACATATTTTTGATGACACAGCGAAAACTGGCGGAGCTTGGCTGAGAAGTTTTGATGCATCCACCATATAGCTCTGACCTTGCACAATCTGACTACCATTTGTTTTGRCCAATGCAGAGCTCCTTTAGTGGAGTAAAGTTGGCCTCAAGAGAAGCTTGTGAAAATTACTTGTGGTAGTTTTTCGCCGAGAAACTAGAAAAGGCTTACACTGATGGAATAAAGTCTCTAGCGGAAGAATGGCAAAAAGTGATCGGTTCATTAAACCTCATTATAAATACAAAAAAAAAAACAAAGTTTGATAAGAAATCCGAAAATCGTTTTTGGACTACCCAAATAGTAGAAGAAAAAATGATTTTAATTGYCCCTCATTGCCTTTTAATTATAAAAGTATTTAATTATAGTTTGAAATTGCGTTAGTTGGGGACATTGTGGTTTTACAAATGTAGCCGAGGGATACGACTCTTGACCAAAATAAAAAACATTTTATACAAATTACCTATTAAAATTCATATAAAAAGATTTCTGCAAAAAATAATGTTAAGCCAATACTTAACTTAATATTAAACGCTTAAATTTTGTAAAAGTCATATCCCTAATTAAATCAAAGCATTAACAAGTTAACATATTTCTAAATTTCTACATAAACACCGACACTCATAATTCACTTTGTCAACTTACCGCTATCACATTCTTCATTTACRTTCATCTCCAACATCTTTGTATGTGTAATGTCCTTGTGTGATGCCAAAAAGAGCACCACATCCCGTTTTTCGTTCTTAATTGGCACAATGTCAAAGAGACACCAAAACGGCGAACCTGCAAAGAAGAAAAGTGAAGAAGTGAAACTAGCTTATTTACATAAATGAACACAGTATCGCATATACATATGTATGTGTGTGTGTGTGTTGCAAGGCTCAAAGCCTAAAAGCGGAAAATGAGCAAAGTGCTAAGCTGGCAATTACATGTTGATTGAGTCTGCCGTTGACACGGCGTATACGTAATCCATATTTACTTATGCACGGTAGCGTAGATTTCGCTTGGCAAGCTTGAAGGTAAATTATGATTTAAGGTAAGTGTTCAAGCGGATATTAGCATTTATGTTTTAATAAAATGGAAGCTGCGATTTTTTTTAACAAAAAATTTTTGGAACTAAAATTAAATTTTCAATTTTTGAGTGGAATTTCAAAATGAAATGCGAAAAATGTTTGAGTACTAAATATTAAATTAATAATAATAATAACATCTAAGTATGCAAACTCAAAAAAAAATTTCATTCAAAAGCATTTTTTCTCATTTTTATTATACATTTTTTTCCTAATATTTCAATCCGGTATTTATAAAAATTAATTTTTAACTTTTCAATCTGGTATTTGGGATTTGAAATAATGCAACTATTTTTAATTGAAACTGAATTTCAAAAATAAAAACATTTTAATTTGAATGGAAAATCTGATCACATCATGCGAAGTAATTATTACAACATCAATCAAAAAATTACGAAACAATCTATTATGCTTATAATCTTACACCACGGCACTATTAATATCACTTAAAGACCACTTTTAAATATCTTAAATATGATAGCCGCCATATCACTTACACCATCAAAACACAAGAGCACACGTACGCCACACTAACAAGTCTGTATCCTCACAGCATCTACCAAAGCTTCACACAAATTAATCAAAAAATCCCTCTAGACTTCGACTAGACCAATCAGTGCTGCAGAAAATAAAAACTTATAGCATACTTGCACGCGCAACGAAGACTAAATTACGTGTTACTCACATATTAAGCGTTGCATGTATTTTACTTTTATCTCTTTGCTCTTCATCTACTTACATTGTTATTATATGCTTTGTGACGCACACAACGCTGGGCACAGCCTTCGAGCGAAATAGCCTTTGAAATATGTGCCTACACACTTAATGACATGCATTCGCTCATGTGCTTATCAATTTGACACACTTTTTGATCTTATACACACACACATATACTATACATTATATATCAGCAGTATACTTATTTACACTGGCATGTGTGTGAGTATAGAAAACATTATCTAGTTAATTTAATGAGACCTTACTGCTTGAGCGCGCATTCAAGCGACTGTGAACACTTTAAATTTGTGTGGGTGTGAGTAAGTGAAGGACGAGTGGGGAGATATAATGCTCAAMAGTTCWGTAAGGTTGATTGGAATATCACTTYAMTAGAAATTACATAGAGAATAATTAGATTTACACTCATTTCTTGAAGGTGAAGAGGAAACAAAGCAAGTTTGAGAAGTCGTGCCTATGAATTTTGAAGAAAACACTTCTWTGGGAGTAACGGCAGTATGATCTGAATATAATAAATATTCAAAACATATGTTAGTATTGCATTTTATAATTTCTTAAGGCTTCTATATCAAAACAAAATTAATGAGAAAGGAATGACTCTCGAAAAATTATTCCAAAAAAAAGTATATAATATTTAAAATAAAACTCTTCAAATACTCTTAAAGCCCAAAGCAAGCAACAAGAGAAAACCAAAAGATTTAACGCGCATTAAAAACCAATAAAATGCTTAGCTTACTCACCCAACTACCCTTAATTATTATCATCATTTACGAATTGAAAAGCAGACGTCAATTCAAGTCAAGTCAGGACGAATAAAAAGCCAAAACACACTCAAATGATGCTATTTACGTATAAACTTAACGTTCATATGATTTTATTTATTACCAATGCGGATACGTGTCCGCTTTGCAGTGAACGTGTGAAACGGCAGAAAGTTGCGTATACGCCACGCTGACTGTGTCATTCACACTGACGCGGACAGCAGCGTGTGCGACGTGCGCGCCTTAACTTCAGCACCTCGTACATATACGAGCAGAATACGTGCACACACACACACACCCGGCAATACAACAAATTGCTCACTTACAGTTACAAATGCGCAACGCTGAGCAAATCCTAACAACATGCTCCCCAGCGACTCGGCACAGTGGAAGTTGAGTAGGAGTAATATATGTGTAGATATGTTTTTTCAATGTTTATGTTTGTATATGAATATATTCACTTCTGTTAGTTCATATCGATCTGCTGCCTCTCGACATCCTTTTGTTCTGCTCAAACTATTGCTGGCACAATAAAAAGTCACAAAGTCACTCGAATAAGTTTCTGAGTGGGCTTATGGCAGATGACATTGTTTTCCAATACATTTTTTGGCTTGTTTTTGCTCTTTTTGTTGCCTTACTTTTGAGTTCTGTTCAACTTGTTTGTAATTTTTACAGTTATTATGCTGGCATATATACTTTGTCTGCCAAATTGCACGACTTCCGGCTCAATTCTGAATGTCGGTGTACATTTATGTTAAGAATATACAGAAAATAAAATTTATATCTCACATAAAACCGCTTAAGTCGTGTTAATTATCTTTTCGTATTCCACCACATATACTCTTGGAACATAGGCATTTTTATTATCGCTCGTAGGAGACTAATATTGAGACTTTATTTCAAGAACTGCGGTCTCCTAAGCTCGCATTTTAGTTGCGGAAAAGCGTCTACAAATCAAAACTTTCAAAAACCTTCAATTTCAAGTTAAGCTACTTTTTTCTGTTAGCTGTCGTTGTGTTCATTAGTATAGTATATCGTGGCAAGCTGTTGCCTTTTTCATAAGGCTGCAAATTGATAAATTGTGACTTTAGTTTGGCCCAAAAGTTTGCGGTTAGTGTAAGTGAATAAAACTTTATTGCCAAAGTTTCCAGCAATTAGTTCTTCCGTATTGTTAGCAAATATCAAAGAAGTGGTGGTTATTATATCTATATTATTATATGAAGCACGAATCTGAAGAATAAAATATCAAATAATTGGTTTTACATAGTAATGGATTAAAGTATTTTGTACATGAGGGTATTTTGTAGAAACGGCTTGAAAATTGCATAACTTCCATTCGAAGTCTAAAAATGTTGATATATCAACAAGCTAATGGTTGTGTTATGTGATAGACAACATTTGTTTGCTTTGAAAACAAAATGTTAGTTAACTCCGCTGAAATTCATATATGTCCATTAAGCGTCTACAAGAAGCCAGAGCCCGATTTATCAGGGTTGTGCTTCTTAATCTGTTTCACTGTTACCAGAAATATCACCATAAGCTGGAACCCAATAAAGTTTTATCGTGAAATAGGATATTAGATGCACTTAGATCGTCCACTTAGATTAAGAGAATATTTTACTATATACTATGAAACTTTAGTAATTTCAAATGCGCTTTGAGATCTTTAAATATAAGCATATTTCTATATTTCTTGTGTAGACATCCTCACTGTTAGAACAAGAAGGTTTTTTTTTTATGTGACCTATCGTTGGAAGACACTGTAGTTATTTTGTAGTCAGAACACAATTTTTATATGTAGATTTGCTGAAAATGCACCAGCTTCTTCCTACTCGAGCCATGCCACACCGATTTGGCTGCCAGTTGCTTACTTACCGAACAAGCCTGTGCGCAATAAGTAAAAAACAACCTGTAGGGAGTATTGAATTCTTCAACTTGGTGTAAACTCGAAAGGCAGTTTTCAGTGTCGTCAAACGATCTTCTTGGATATATTAAATGTGTCACGTAAAAATAAAGGGAGCGAGAATTTCGATAATAATTTAAATTTTTTAAGCCACCCAAAAGCGCCAGTTTTTAACTCCACTAATCTATAGAAATAGTAACTTTTTCTTGATTTTAGAATTGATATAGTATTAAGCAGCAAAATATTCCTCATCGCCAGACATCTTTATTTGGTGGGCTTTGTGGAGATCTGCTATGGAATTAAGCGAATCCAGATTTGTTGAAAACGAAGTGCTGACATTTAAAGTAGAGTAAGTTCTGCAAATCAATCTTTATTATCTTTCTATTCCACAAAATGCCTCTTCAACAAAAAACTTCACAAATAAACAAGTTATTGTGACTAACAAGTTGATATAACACTTTGATGTAATTAAGTCTCAAATTATGTTCCTTTTACGTGTAAAGCACAAATATTAAGTATACGAGTTTCTTAGCACAAATATAAGTAACAAATCATTATACAAACGAGCTCTTTTACTACAAAAAATGCTTAAGTTGTAATTTCTCTCTCTTTCAGCTCAATAATATCATATTCAATCCTTTGGAGGGGCTAAACCCGTAGCCTAATAAGCTCTGTTGTTGGGTCACTTTGTGTTTATTTATCATTTATTTGCAATTTGCTTCAGATAAACATTTTAATTAGAAGCTTTCAACGCAATTRATGTCTAGCAACAACAGCAGCATTTGCTTTTAATTATGTGATTCACATAAACACACACATAAAAATATTAATGTAATCAATAACAGTGTGTGTACTTACCATCTTTTTTGTAAAAAATAACTTCCAATTTCAATTCGGTCTTATTCATCAGACTTTTTTCAATTTGCTGTTTGTGCTCGTCTTTTGTTTCCGGACCGTACAGGAAATGGCACGAGCATCCTGTTGACACAATAAATGCAGCCGATGAGAGGTCGTAGACGAAATGCGCCGCCAACCAACGAAATTGACACAAGCCAGCACCAATAGCAACAACAATAAATATGGTAGTCGTCAATGTACAATGATGTTGGGCGCAGTTGGGCAGCCATTGTCCGGCGGAATGTTGCCATGCACGGGGATGAGCCGGTTCGCAGTCATTTTCATGTTTGTTTTGTTGAATTTTATTACAGTTGTTGTTGTTATTATGTCAGTTTTTTTTTTTTTTTTTTTGTTTTGTGTTTTTGTATCGTTTTTTGTCCGTTGTTGGCATTTTAATGGGTACAATTGTTTTCGGTGTTGTTGATTGGCAGCATTTTACACGAGTATTGTTGTTTTTATTATTGCATTAAGCCCGTGAAATTGCACGGATTTGCGTGAAAGCATGAAAAAGAGAATTAAATGAAAAAACAAGTATAAAAAGTGTTGATTTAAAATATATTTGCGCTGCATAATAAACTGATGCTACTTTCACAAGATATGGGTTGCCAATTGCCAATGTAAATATAAAAACATTTCATTTTTTAAGTCGTCCAAAACAGTTAAATATTCAATTTAAGTTTCTATGCTTCATTCCATCAAATATTTTATACCTTAATTCAATAAATATTCATGGCCTATTTCAAACWGTACCATCAATCAAGTATTACTAACTTTATAATGATGAGGTGATGAACCAGTGGAGAAGTACAAAAAAATATAATTAACGAACGRTCTCCCCCATGACCGAGACCCTTAGATACAGCGCCCGAAAACAAGCACAGGAACACCTGCTCCATGCTACTGGAGTTGGAAAAAGAGTATTTTCTCGCAAGTATCTCGGCCTTACAACTGCCGTCGATTCCGCTATGGCTAGGCACTTAGACACGTTTAATAGGGAAGTAGTTTGATGCTACTATCAATAGCATCGAGTGTCTTTGTGRTAAGTCTGGTACAGTCACGCTGATGAGCTAGCGAGAAAGGCATCCTAGAACCGCTATCGATAGAATGAGAGCGAGCGGGCACCGGCTCCCGTATCCTCTTTGTTCTACTATTAGTTAGCTAGGCTTCGCGGAAGATTRGCCAGCGCTGGGCASCTTCGGTACATGCGGTTTGGCAAAAGCCTTTTGGCCCAAGATCGATCGCAAGACATTTAGTGATCTCTTTGCCCTCAGTAACTCTATCCTCTCCACATTTTTGAGATATTTTATAAGTTCGAACACAGCASTTCTTCTTTTCTATGGCCAAAGGACTACATACAGTWGGCTACGTGCGATTTTTGATCARGCATCTAATCTAACCTAACCTACTTTCAAGGTATTAATCGATGTATTCGCTACRTCTTCGATAGATATTATGTAGCCGCTCAAACTGAAAAATGTYATATTTTTATAAAAGAATTAAAACTCCACTAAGATGGAGATTATTCTCAGCTCTTCTTGGCTTACTTGGCTATTTCACATTTGATATAATTAAAGAAAAATAACTAAAAAACAATTTCCAAAGAAATGGGTATAAGGATAAAAATATGTGGAAATATGAAATGTATTAAAACAGTGCTTGGGTAGTCTGAGACTAAGCACTGACTTTCAGCCAAGATATTATGCCACTTAGATACAAGTCAAATCAGTTTCTAGGCACTAAAAACATGATCGATTAACTGATATAKGAAAAAGATGTAAATTTTATGATAAAATATACTTTTTTGGATTTCATGCTTTGTCAAAATGAAACTGTGAAGTGTGAAACAAACGATGGCGAAAAATTTTCCATAGTTTTCTAAGATACTACTTGTTCTATTTACTTCAATAGTGGTCCATTGACAACAATGGCTGAATTTTTGTCAAATCGCTTTTACATTATATATATATTTTTTTTTCTATTTGAACACCATTTTACCTTATTTTTTATGCACTTTCCTACTTTCCAACTTACCCTTCTGCATTATTTGCGCACGCGAATATCTTGTCAGCTCCACGAAGCCATCCGAACAATAAACAATTGGATTGCCATTTGCCTGCGCATTGCCAAGCACGAAATTTGAATCTGCAAGGAGCAAAAAATAACAAAAGTGAACTAGAAAGTAAATAAATGTTTGACGAGTAAAATGGTTTTGTTGACAGAATTCTAAAAAATATATGTATATCAATTTGTAAGTAGTGAGTAAATGGGTTTCTGATAATAAAAAGCTTTCAACTGGCATTGTTTGCTGTCCAGCTGTGCATTAAAGGATACTATTGGCTTTGGCACTTACATATCTGACAGAGTGAAAAATTTTTATTATTGTTTTTAGTCCCTTTTTCCTCATATAAAAGTGGGAGTGACAATCAATTTTCGACAGTAAAGAGCTTGAAATTGCACTTAACTTAAGACCTAACATAATAAATGACACTATTCTGTGATAGCAATTCCGAGAATTTTAACTCAATTAAATTTAAAGCTGAATTTCTGAGAAATTTCTTGCTATTCACATTAATAAACTGCTAAAAAAATAAAAAGGCAATCAATTAAATATAGAAAGCAAGGAAGTAACTCTTATGCGTACACACATACAACTACATACACACATAAAATTCTCTCGCATGAAGTAATACTCTGTCCAGTGGTCCCATGGGAGAGACAAGAGGTGGAAGTAGGTTAGGTTTAGCGGATTAAAGTCCCGCACTCCGGCTTTCKATGCTTCCTCCTGCTATAAAAAAACACACACATACACACATATAAAATCATGTTACTAATGCCCAAGAGCCTCTGTAAATTCCTGGTATTTAAAAAATTTAAGCTTCTCTTTTATTTGCAGAAGCAAGTGCTTGCTGCAAATCAGAAATCTACAAGCAAGCAGCTGATCAAAGTGAGCAGATAAGCCAAGCCAGTCCATGGCTCTTGCACACATAGACTAGTAATGAATTTAAACTAAACTGCTCAAATACCATTTAGCAGTATTAAAGATGTGTGCTTGACTGTGTGTGCGGGTTTGTCAAGGGCACTTTTGAACCTGAGCAAAGAAGCAGACAAGATATTTGTGTTGTAATTGTAATTTAACTAAACTACCGTTAACTAAGCATGCTTTACATCGAATGAAATGAAATTTATCCGAAAGGTGATAAACATTATTTTTAAACTCTAAACATACCAAGTTTGTTACGAAGTTCGTAAGCAGAAAACAGCGGAGGCTTTCTAAGTATATAAACAAGGTGCGTTCCAAAGTAAGCAGGACTTAAAAAAACGGAACAAATGGATTTTTTCGGCAAAATTAATTTATTTTATTCAAAATATTCTCCTTCTGCTTTGATATAGCTTTTGCACAGTCCAAAAGCATGTCGAACGAGTGTTTTAGCTCATTAGCCGGTATGTCCGCCAGTGCAAGGTGTGTTCAAAGAGCATCGCGAATTTTGCATTTTCGCGGGTTACGTATATTCGAATTTTGAATTTTTGGTGGCGTTATGTTGGTACTCATGTCTCTCACTTATGCCGACAAGCTCGGCCATTTTGAATGTTCATTTAATTGTTGACAACTGCTTTGCTTGCACGTGTTTTGGATCGTCTTCGATTTTTACCTATTCAAAAAAAATGGATCAAAGAACTTATATCAAATTTTGTGTGAAAAACGAAATTAAATGCTCGGATGCATTCGGAATGTTGACTGTGGCTTACGGAGAAGCTACCTTGGACCGAAGCAACGTTTATCGGTGGTACAAAATGTTCTCAGAAGGCCCGGAAGATGTGACAAAAATTGGTTTTTGCACCACGATAACGCCCCTGCTCACAGATCGTTGCTTGTTCGCGACTTTTTGGCCAAAAACARCACACTAATGATGCCGCAGCCACCGTATTCTCCAGAACTGGCCCCCTGTGACTTTTTCTTGTTCAATAAACTGAAGAGGCCCATGAAAGGACGACGTTACGCTTCTCTTGACGAGATATAGGCGGCATCGAAGGAGGAGCTGAAGATAAAAAAAATATATTTTTTGAAATGCTTCGAAGATTGAAAAAACCATTGGCACAAGTCTCATGGGGATTACTTTGAAGGGGACAAAATAGATATTCATGAATAAATAAATAATTTTTGAAAAAAGCTCGTATGCCGGTGCAAGCCTTTTGAATGGCCTCTACGTCTGCATAAGGCTTTCCTTTCATGGGCAAATGCATTTTTYCAAAAAGGAAGAAGTCTCACGGTGCCATATCAGGTGCACACGGGGAGCGGTTAAGGCTTAAAATGTGATTTTTGGTCAAATAATAATAAAGTTTTGGTCGTGAGTCAATTTACGTGGAACAAACCGTACATACACCTTTCGTAAGCGCAAATGCTCGATCAAAATAAATAAAAAATAATAAAAAAAATAGATGTTTTGGAGATGTTCAATTCCATTGCCATGAATTTCAATTGTGATTTCGGCTGCTTTTTGATGAATTCACGCACAGTTTCGATGGAATTTCCGGTGATCACGGATTTTGATTGGCCCACATGTATGTTTATGTTCTCACGACCACTTTGAAAACATTGAAACTTATAGACAATCTTTTGAAACGTTTTGGTAAAAGTTTTAACAAKTWTAAAACAAAATTGAATGTTGGCTCTTTGTTCGAAGCTCATTTTCGCACCGATAACACAAAAATACTGATACTTAAAACGAAATAAATTTACTTACAATCAATGAAATGTCATGAAATTATCACTAAACAATAGATAACGATTCTAACGCACTAGTCGAGATATAGATGGCGCCACCAGGGGGCGCTAGACACAAAAAGTCCTGTTTACTTTGGAACGCATTTTGTATAAGTGATCAGCGTGACGAGCTGAGTGGATTTARCACTGTCTGTATATACGCAAAATAATCGGTCGGCTTTTAAGATATCAAACTGAAATTTTTCAYACGCTCTTCATTGCTCAAGAGATGCTTACTTGTCGGAACAGGCACTATCGGATCACTATCGGTTCCACATAGTAAAATTTTCACACCGGCTGCCATAAAGCCCTCCTATACCATCGCGGTGTTACACTTTTATGTCTCTGGCTAGGGTTAGTTGTGGTAGCTTTAGTGGTTTAGGAGATATATACGTTAAAATTATTAACTAAGGCACTTTATCGGTTTTAGTWCGGCAATAGTCCTATTACGCCCATTTTCGGAGTCATACTTCTTTCACTAATATACGCGCATATCGAGTTTCATCCAGATATCCAAATTTTTACTCAAATAACAGCTGGGACAAACAGAAAGCCACCAGGATTTCAAATTTTCTCGTCAATATGGTCATTTATATATACATACTTRCATAACCCTCTATCTAACTCGCTTAATCCCAGGAGATACGTACAACATGTCGCAAATGCACAAAAATAGATAACTATTTATATAACATACACATATCTTTTGATATAAATATAAAATGTCTTGTCCACRTATACATCTACAAGTCTACTTACTATCTTGCTTGCTCTTCTCCTCCCCGTCACTTGCGGTATGATACTTAATTCGGTTAGTTAACTTTTACTTTGTTGGCTGCTTACCAACAACCATGTGAGATGGGCATAAGCCTTTCTACAGTTCATTTTACACGATACTCTTATTTCTATCCATTCCACTCCCACATAACCAACTAGAGCTAAATAGAATGAAATGGCTCAAAATGCATACAAACTAACAATAACAAAGAGCTCTCATGTAGCTCGTAAGTATATATGTGGGAAGGATTGCAGTAAAATTGCAAAAGGCATAAGAGGCTTTAAAATTACTTTGAGAAATTTGCAGATAATTGTTGGTAGAGACCAGGTGGCACATAGTTATAGTAAATATGTCTCAGCTAAAGTGAGTTTCAAGTGATTTTCGTGCTCTATATGGTATCCTAATTCAAAAACTGCTGAGATATTTTTACGACAACAGCATAGATTATACTTTATCGGTAAAGGTATCCGCTCTCGTGTCATTTGGAATTGATATCAAATCTATATTGAGTTGTTGTTAAGGATTCTGCTATCATTMACTCATCTCAAATTATRAAGCAGCTGTGGTATTAATCTAAAYCATAGCTTSGRTTGAAACGTTTCACAAACAAGTGATTCTCTGAGCTAGACTCTCTGAACTAAACCGCAACTATCGGGATGTCCAGTAGCACGCTGACTGGCAATTTAGCTATCTGGTGCATTACCATTGCCGTAAAATCAAGTAAGTCGAGTTTTGAAGCACGATAAAGCCGTTTGGGTATATTTAGAGGAGTGTGARACGATTCAGTTAACCTTAAGCTGAACTCAAAGGCTTAATTACGGCCTCGGATCTCATTTTAACTAAAGACTTTGTAACGGCCAGAGATATTTGGAATGGCTTCGCGAGAAAGAAAACAAAACTTACTAATCGGTATTTTCGATTTCTTTGTGTATATAATATAATTTTTTGCTAGGATTAGCCCTCAGACACTCGCCTATCTGTTTTTCTTTTTTTTTACAATTTGTTTTGCAAGCCAAGTTACAAATGCCAATTAAAAGTTCATCAAATCGCCAGACAAACAAAAAGTTTGTTGATAAATGCTACATGCGCTTAACTCTTTTCGGAGAGACTGAAAAGAAATATTACATAAAACATACGTGTGTGTGTGTGCATGCGCCTGCAATTTTCGTGTCAGGGGAACAACATATTGGGCCGAAAATTAATGCGCACATACAAGCAAAATATATTTCTCTKCGTTTAATTTTCTAAAATACATRTATGTATGTGTGTTTCTATATATGTATGTAACGGTAGACTAGTCGCACAGCCAAAAACCAATATCGGAAACTTTTAGAAGTAGTAAGCACACAAAAGCCTCAGGTCAGCTTAAATGAAACCATATTTTTTTTTTTACACAAACACATGCAGAGAAACAAGCATATGTGCCTACGTATTCGTGCATATATGTATTGCTRGAAGTTATTTAAACCGACACAACAACAATGTTGACCACCAATGCCCTAAAGTAGCACACAGCTTTGCTTTTGGGAAGGTCACTGTTGATCGAAAGTTATAAGTAAATATTTGCAAAACTTAATTAACAGTTCTAAACCGTACGATGGG